ACACTATGGCCTATTACACTGATTTCTAGCTCTTCTTTAATTTTTTAAAATTGTTTTCCTTTAGTTGCTGGAAATCTTTCTGCTGCGTTGTCTGTGATGGTAGCTGGCTTCTCTGAAATACGCAGAAAACACTTTCCACTGCTGGAACAGCCTCTTTTAGGCCAAGTTCTGCCTGTCTCCTCCATGCCCTGTTTCCACCTGGTTCTTCAGTACGTTTTACTTGGAGTGGCTGAAACTCTGGTAAACCCTGCCCGTGAGTAACAATTTTATCAACTCATGTCAAAGACACTGGACCTTTACCACAAAGCACTTGGCGACAGGAACAACTGAAGTGGCAGGTGATCTATCGCTGCTAGAGATTTCCCTTAGCGCTTCAAACAAGCCTATTTAACACCCTCATTGAAAAAAAATATATATTTTTCTTCATTCCTCTACCACACAAATAATAGATATTTATTCTGCTTGGATATAGATGGAATGAAAGATTTGCTAAGCTGATCAGAGGCAATCCTCATTTGGTCAGATACAGGACAGGAAGAGGCAAACTGCTAAAACCTAGGAGATAACCCCTGCAGGCTTAAATGAAGACTCTTGTTTCAGCCCTTCCCTCTTCCCACTTCCCTCTTCCCTCCCTCTTATTCACAGATAAACTCATACACAGACTCCCTCTAAAAATGACATTTTAATGTATTTTGAGAGTGTATAAACATGCAAATGAAATGAATACTTGACCCAATTTTCTTGATAACTCAATGTCTTTAAATTAAATTATACTAGATTAAATGTGATCACTAGTTTAATAAAATAAGTTTATTAAATATCAAGGGTTTCTGTATTATCTAGATTGCTTCTATTAATTAAAGTATCCACTTTAAAATTTGTCACAGCGTTTCAGTAACTTCCTGTTTTAAAATGTGCAGTAAAATGTGTCTATGTGTGTTTGTGTGTGTGTGTAGGTACATCTACCAGTGTGACCTATCATGACTTGTGTTTATATTTCCTTATATTTCTCTCATTGTAACTCCAGCCCAAGTTATTCTTTACTGAGAATATTTTTATAACTTTAACTGTCTTCCTACCTCCAGTAACTCTCTCCTTCTATCAACCAGTTCACAACCTTTTAGAATAATCATCTACAATGACAATTCTAATCATTTCATTTGTGCCTAAAATCTTCAATGGTTCTATTTTCTTCAAAATCATTTACAAATGCCTTAAATACATATATTTAATAAATGTTCATTTACACTCAGATATGCATGTATATGACACCCAAACAATTCATTTTAAACAATCAAAATAAAATGAAATTTGTATAACTGTAGTCACAGATACATAGGTGCATCACCCTCTTTTTATCATGCTAAATCATTTTATTCCATATGTTTTGCATAAGTTATTTTGTGACATTCTATGATAGGAACACCATTTTTTTTTAACAATGCAAGGAATACAAAAGGAGGGTAATTGACTGCCACTATGCAAACTTAGTGATCTTCCCTGATGCTGTTTCTAAAAGACTCTTGGAAGTAGTCAGCCAAGATTTTTCTGGGCTACATGTGGAGTAAGATAGGGAGTGAATGAATACAGGAGGAAAATCCTAACCAGCTTAGCAACAGTGACTCAGCATACTCACCACCATTGACAGTTAAAAGGCACATCATGTAATACAAGTCACTCAGTCCATCCTCTTTCAATTACGCATCAGGAAACTGCGCCAACTCTGTCATAGATTTCTCTGCTACAGGGGACATGAGCCAGAGTACAGAAGTCTTGGTTTGATTTCCAGCTTTTCTCTGTCTACCTCGAGACCTTGGGATCTCACTTAATCTCTGAGTTTCTCCTTCAGATCTTTAAAATACAAATAATGACCGTTCTTCCTCAATATCACAGCTGTAATGTTTGGATCTTTAGTGTTCTGAAAAGCTCATGTTTTGAAAGCATTATCACCAATACAGCAAGGTCCAGAGGTACAGCTTTTGAACAATGATTAGAGCATGGGACTGTAACCTCCTTAGTGGGTTAATGATTTGAATGGACATCAGGCGGTAACTATACGTAGAACATGGCTGAAGGAAGTATGTCACTGGGGGCATGGCCTTGAACTATATCATGGGATAAAAGTCCATGGGAATGAGAGGCCATTCCTTGGAAATCAAATGATACACAAATACAATTACTCTCCTGGGGGCAGTGCAGTATAATGGTTAAGCTCTTTGGTCCTAAAGTTGGACAAATCTGAGTTCAAACCCAATTGTGCCACTGACTAGTGGTA